CCACAGGTACCGGGCGGGGGTTGCTGCGGGGAGCGCTGCTGGGGGAGCCGGGGCTCGGTGTGTCTCCGTCTGCCCAAGCCTGCCGGCGAGGACTTGGGTTTGCTACTGCTAGGCTTAACCGCGTTCCTTAAACCGTTCCTGTTTTAATTAAATGTCGGTTTTAGAGGATCTTCTGGCGAGCGGTGAGCAAGTGTTGCCGGAGGCCAAGGCCGCTGCCCAGCCCAGCCCTCGGAAGCCAGGAGAGGATCCGGTGGCTGTACCGAGCGAAGAGCTTAACCATGTTCAAAGCGGTGGAGTTTCAGGCGAACCCCTGGAGATGGAGTTGCCACGGACTCCAGGGAGCATCCAGCTGATACACAGGGCAGCCAGGCGGGCGAGCTGAGACCCCAGACGGGACAGGCGAGTGATGGATGGTGTGTGATGAACTTGGCAGGAGCCTCTGATGGCGCTTGTAAGGAGAGAAGCGAGGAGCAGCCAGGTCAGCCAGCTGAGAGTAGGGACTTGGACCATGAAGAGTGGGAAGTTGTTTCTGAGCACCTGGCCTGGGGGGAGGCTGGCAAGAATGGCAGTGTGGAAGACTCCGACAGCAAGGAATGGGAACAAGGAGACTGCCCTGATGGGGACTTGAAAGCAAAGAGAGTTGCCGCTGTGCCCCCCATGCTTCAAAATATCCACGTGACTTTCCGTGTGCACTACGTCACGCACTCTGATGCTCAGCTGATCGGTGTTACTGGTGACCACGAGTGTCTTGGCCAGTGGCACAGCTATGTTCCCCTCAAGTACGACAAGGATGGTTTCTGGTCTGAATCCATTAGTCTGCCAGTAGACACCAAAGTGGAGTGGAAATTTATCTTGGTGGAGAATGGGAAGGTCAGACGTTGGGAAGAATGCGGTAATAGGACCCTAGTGACTGAACATGAAGATCAAATTGCTCATCAGTGGTGGGGATACCATTAATGGGATTTTGGAGGCTGCTCACCTAATGGCAAACCTGCTTAGATTAATCACAGAGCCCCTAAACTTCACCCCTTCTTCAGTGGGACACCTCAAGTGCAGAGCTCTCTAAATCCTGCATCAAACCTGGGTAGACTGTGTGAGCGGCAGATCTCTGCCATCCCCTTTAGCAAATCATTTAGCAACCTGAATAATCCACTTCAAATGCATTCTGAAGATGTGCAGGGTAGGCTATGAAGGCATGAGCAGCATTCCAAGCAGCTGCCTGTCCAGGTAAATCTGGACCCTGGACTTGACTTTGTGTTGCTTTGAGTGGGGCTATGGGATGCATCTTTCTACCAACTGCTTAGGGCTTTTGAAGCATACTAGGAAGTGTGGTTACCTACACTGTAATAGGAACTTAAGTGTTTTAACTTATGTAATGTATTAAGTAAACAATAAACACTTTCAGACTGACAGCCCGTTACAACTTGATCAGTGAACTGACTCATTTTAGTAACTTTGATAGAAGTGAGTTACTTGACCTGAAATCTTAGTGCTACAGAATTCCTGAAAAGGGGCTGGCACTCTTTGGAGTAACAAAGGTTTAACCCCAAAGTACTTCATTCTCTACTCCCTACTCTCCAGGAAGCACCTCGGCTCCAATGAAGGCTTGGCAGGTAGGTCCCTTTTAGTCAGATCATCCTGCTGAGGGGAGAGCAAAGGTCAGAACGGACTGTCTGGGCTTAATGAATTACTCTGGCAGGGTGGGAGCAGGCTTTAAAAAAAACCTGGACTGCTGTGCTGGCTAGGGAACAGGATTCATTCTGCAAGAGTCAGGTGGGGCATATCCTGCCCACCTAGGAACAAGACCACAGTATTGTTAGCCACTACCTAGCTTAAACGCATACCTTTATTTTTTCCAAGACTAGCCTTTTGAACACAAATTTATTTGAAGTTGTGGCCTTCTGGTAAGCCAGATGAAGTAGAATACTTCCAGCCTCAACCAGTTGATACTTTTTTTTATGACAGAAGCAGAAAGCTCCTCTGTTTGCCTGCTTTTTGTATTTTTGGTTACAAATACATGATGCCACTTCAGCAAGCTGTTCTTTCCATAATGAGGAGCCTATCTCTAGCTTGCAAACAATTGCTTCCCTAGAGCGAACTTGGTCTGAAGAGCATAAATTAGCATTTGGGTTGGAACACTTACTTCAAAAGCACATTGCTGATCTAATTGCCTCTGCTAATTCTGTCCTGCTTGGCACGGTGGCGCAGTCTGAATACATGAAATAGAATGCATCTTGGAGATAGACTGGAAGATGAGCTTCAGAGGCTTACCTCCTGCATCTGATAGTTAACAGACATCCAGTTGGTGGGGCAATATTAGAGCTGCTGTGAAGAACAAGTGTCTGGAATCTTGTTAGTAAGACTTCAGTACCAGCTGTTCCCTGAAACAAGCCCATTGAGAGTGGGCTGGGCTGTCGGCTCCTGCAGGCATAGCCACAGAATAGCTAAAGAGAATCTTTGGGGGAGCATTGAGGGGAGAGTGAAGAGGGAGAGCAACTAAGGCAAATGAACAACTGTATTGGCAAGTTGGAGTTTTCCTGTTCTCAGGTAAAACAAGCCCCTCCCAGCTGTTGCTACATGAGAGAGCAGCTAGTTCTGTGGGTCAGTTACTTCTGCAAATACTAGCTTTGCTCTCTGGTGGTCTCAAGCAACCAGAAGATTCAGGTGAATAAATTTCATTTCCTTCGAGAGACCTTTTATAGAAGAGAGCAAGGTAGGAAATGTGGGCGGGAACTAAACTCAAGACTGACTGTAAGCTTTTTGTTAACTGCTTGTCCAGGATGAAAAGCACCCCTGTAACTACTTCTGTGAGAGAAGTCTTGCAGGGCTGGAAGCAACGTGGTATCGTTTCTGGCAACTGACTCAAAAGGGAGAGGATGGTTCAGCAGGTTGTGGATGCTGCTTCAGCGGTCTTAAACACGTGCAGATGCACACACTAGTCTTCAAGTCTCTCAACAGAAAACTAATACGGGACTTAAGTTACTAAGTGAACTTAAAAGGAAAATAGGACATAGTTAGCATGCCTTGGGTTGAAAATTAAATGTGAATATGAGGCATTTTTCACTTTAGGGGCTACTGCTTTACTGTAACAAATACTTCTGCTGTTTAATTATGACTATACCTGCTGCGTATAAACAGAAAGCTCAAAGTTCTGTCTATGTGCACCACCACTGAGTACACAAAACATTTGTGTGGGTTTCAGTCAGTACCTTACAGCTTTAACTGAACAGCTAAAATTGTGCTGGAACTAATGGCTTGATACTTTAACTGCATTTTTTGCACCGTAGCTTTTCTAACAATAAATTTAAGTGACTGATATACCTAATATACAGAGGTGTAGTTGAAATAGACGTTGATCTTCAGAACTCACTGAAGTCAGAGCAAACATGTTATTTCCAGCTGTTTATAATTCTTTTTCCCATTAATGCAAGCTCTTCAAATGATGACATATTGTCAACTTGAAGAGCACTTGTCCAAAGGCCACTGCCATTTGAGTGTATTTATACATACATTGAAGGCTTGTCTGAGAAGATTAACTGTGGTATTAGATTAAGATATTCACTAGAAAGCCACTTAACCTACACTAGAATAGATTCTCTAATGCAATAATGAACATGTTTCAAACAGACTAACCCTGAGAAGTCTCTCAGATTGAGAACAATTTTTTTTAATTAAACACCCTGCACTTTGATCCCACAGACAAGGCATATAGTCCTCATGATTGCATCTTGCTGAATGATCAAGGTTTCTTCTAAGACCTGCACTGCTCTTTTGCTATAACCTCTAAATTATTATGCCATTCACTTCACTGCTTGCCCAGCAGGGCCTATGCCATGTAAATTAAACGTTACTTGTACGGTGAAAGAAAGAACTCTGGATTTCAGTATTATTGAAGGAGCTGATTAGTATTTTTTCCAAGTTTACACAGGTAATTTCTCATTATTGAACAATCTATTCACTCAAGTGTGAAGGTAGATTTTAAACAAAGTTGCCTTGCTGCATAAAAATGATTATGTTAGAATGGGCTGATGATACCTGTCTATGTCCTGGCTGTGAGACTGGAGAAGCTACACAGAAGAAACAAGTTCTTGCTGACATTCCTAAGTGGATCTAACAGCCTAACAGCCAGTGGCTCAGGATATCTAAAAGCAAATAATAAATCGTTTCACTCATAGCTTGGCAAAGCCAGAAAGGCTGCAACCAAAGATGTACCTTTTAAGTTCACCTGCTTATACTGCTCACAACAAACTTCTGAGAAATTAGACAATTTGATTACTTTTAGGTGAAACACTATCTACTCCTATTTGTGAAGTAGTTTAGTGTACAAGTGCTAAATGCTGCACCTGGATGGTAAGTTGAGCAGACAGCCTGAGACTGGAATGGGTACTGGGCATAAAGCAGTTTCAAGTCACATACAGAAACTTGCATTGCAGCTTGTTTGCTTCCTATTCACTTTGCAGGTGCTCTTGCAAAACCCATGCCCATCCCACATTCTCTCTGGGAGTTAAACTTACTGTTCGGAGTCTCTCCACGTGATCCATTCAAAAATATTAGACTTATATTTGGTTTTTTTCTCTAGGGGGTTGGCTGCCATCTGTGGTATCCTGCTGTGGTCACGATTTGCCTAACACTCCTCCTGTCATCCACCTGTATGACATGGAATAACACAGTGCTATTCGTGCTGCAAAGTCCAGGAGGCATACAGCTGCCCTAGGGCTCAGGAGTCTGACGCTTTCGCCTCCCCCGGCTAGTTCTTTGCCGTCTGCTGGTGGCAGGGAGGAAGCCCAGACCCATTCCCAACTCTACTGCATTCCAGCACAAGGATGTTAAGCTGCCTTTTCGCTTGGCAGATCTCCCTTCTCTCTGGCTATTTGTACCTCTCCACCTGCTCCTTTCCGTTCTCACAGGGCTGCAGTCTTTTGAAACTCCTTTTAGCTTGGCTCTCTGAACACAACTGAGAGCCTACTTTTCATTGACCTTTTCCAACCTGCTGGGCTACAGGGTGAATACGTGCTCTCATTCTCTACACCTCACCTTTTTCTTACGAAAACTTTGGTAGATCTGTCAAATATGTATAACAAGTCCAAACTGTGATACACAAGCAGTCTAAAATGATCCTTTCATTTCCAATGCAGCCCATTCCTAGGAATGGGGCGATGCCTTTACTAACTTTTTGACTAAGCTTGCAACACTGTTGCAGAAAATGGCAGGATCAGTGGAAAAAAATTATTAGGAAATACAGAAAACTACCTGAATTAAATAAAAATACTGTAACTGACAGTAGCTGAGGACAGCTTAGGAACAAATTGCTAGTCTCTTCTTCCCACATATGAAGACCTCAACCTAAAAAAACCTCAGAGATTTGATCTACTCTGAATACAGTTCTGTAGCTTCAAAGTCAACAAAACCAAGCTTGTATCTGCACAGCTTGTGCTCAGGAAGCTACTTCTGCTGAGCCGTAGCTACAAATCATTTGGTTTGGACAAAATCACCCAGTAAGCCCCTTGAATTCAAGCATGGCATTCCATGCTGCCACAAATCCAAGGCAGTAATTGCTTTTCAGAAAGCAGATAATGAGGAAAAACACTAATGCTAGTGAAGCTGCCCCACTGGCACCTCCCGCTGACCCTAGGGATGGTCTATTTTCCTGTGCTTGGGTACCAATTTATTGCAGAGGGCTATCTTGCCCCTTGTTTTGTTAGTAGCATTTATAGCAAGGACTTCCCTGCTACCAGGCCAGCAGCTTCCATGACCAGCTTCTCAGCCAGCCTTGCTACACCCTGAAGGGGCAGCACTATTAATCTGCTCTTCATGAACAGTCCCCAGACAAAAATCAAATGGCAAATTCTGGTAAAGTACTCAATTTGGGACAAGAACAAAGTTCTTCCTCCCGTATCTTTTTTCAACAACTATCTTGTTCCATGAGATACTGTCAAACACTAACGAGGCTTTAAACATCAATCTGATACTTTAGTGATCCTGTTCATCTTATTACTTTGGAATTGGTTTTAGCATTGGACAGTCTTTTAACCCAGTGCAGTAAGTCATTTGCCCACTGCTGCAAAATCCTCAAATGTCAGGAGACACAGGAGGTTTCAAAATTAATTCATGTATGCCAGGTGTGCTCAACATGCCTTCCTGTTTATTACTAAATCTTACACTAGGAATGGCCTTTGAAAACATTATTCTGAGGCACTCATATTAAGGGAAGGGTGTCTGTACTGGTGACTCAACAGAAGAGCATTTTGGAGACCAACTGAAAGTAATACACCCAGCTATTTTAGCAAACAACTTAATATGGGTGGTGGAGCCTGGCATTTAAATCATACTAGACTGTTACAAGAAAAAAAGTCAGCAGAGATTCCAAATGCATTTTTTTCTGCGTAAACATCACCTGGTTTACTTTTTATTGAGGGACATGGATTGAAGGAGGACAAAAAGTCCCAAACTAGGAACATAACACACCCTCAGCTGTAAGTCAAAAGACAAGTGCTATGCTTACAAAGCTAATCCCAAAGCAGACTGTGGAATCTCCATTTATACCATGATTCAAGCCAAATATCCCAACAAGCAGCTGAAGTTACATAAAAAACACCACTTGGTGAGTCCACTCTGCTTAAAAGAATCAGGGTATAGGATGAAATCTGTGCAGTCTTGCAGTTGTAGGTATGTTGTTCAACAGTTTATTTCAACATTAACAGGAGCCACAGGCAGGTTTCCTGCTTTTATTGGAAGTACTTGGCAGCTCTGTGACATCCAGATGAACTGGAATTTACTGAAGTAATAACAGTAAGTATGGAGGGAGGGGAAACCGATTTATTTTAGAATGAGAAAAAAAAATGCCCAACAAGCCATTTCAAAACTAACTTTCTAAAAAACAGGACGTGAAATGGTGTGCAAGATCCTAAACACATGGAAGAAATACTGGAACTTGAAGCAGTCAGAAGTGCCCTGTGGCCAGTGTCCCTCACAGCACACAGCTATTGAAAAGGTGTGCCAGTGAAAGAGTCTGCATTTAGATATTTTTCTACTCCTCTGTACTTCCCGCTCATTTAAAAGTAAAAACTGTAAAGAGTGTCATGGTTCCAGGCAAGAATTACAGAACTCAAAGAACTTTTATTATTAATCTTTAAAAAATGACGTATTTTAAACAAACTGTACATACGTGGAAGTAATCATGAATGTATATGGCATCTTCACTTTGATAGCTTTTTCTCCTTTTCCTTTGCTTTCTGTGTCTTCATTTCCCGAGTTCTGATCATTGATGACGTGGCTGAAAATAGCAGCAAGAACGGATTACCTGAACACCACCTTATGTTAAAATGATTTGAGGCCTCAGGTGCAGACACCCGAAGCTTTGTAAGATCCTCCCGCACGTTACACTGTACTAATCAAGCCCTTATAAATGCAACTTTAGTTTGCAATTCCTTATATGCAGGGCCTTAACAGAAAAGATAAAACCTAGTTATAAACAGGCACCACCTCATCTGCTTTGTGAAGCCAAACCACCAAATGCTGGAGTACTGGTGAAATGCTATTGATTTCAGAATCTCTTATGGGATGGTGTGAAATTGATATCTTTGGTCCAATGCTCATCAAAACGGGTTTACTTAGTGTGTACATAAAAGGCTTCCCCCCGCCCCCTTTTATATAGTAACTCTTGATACTTTACGGATATGAATATACATTTTTATGTGGATATAGAAAACAGGCAAACTGAAGATGTTAATGGATAGCAAAGAATAAAAATGAGAACACTTGCCTTACACTTTATATAAATAATTTCATTAATTTTACCTAGATCAGATCACTTTTATGTCCCTGGCATGTGCGTGCTCTATGATGTGGGGAAATAATAATTTCCCAAATCTATGCAGTCAGACTTAAAGGGGCAAAGGGGAAGCAACTGAAATGTGCAAAACAAAAAAATGCAGAGAAAAGAAATTCCATCTCACTTGGCATCTTGCCATAACAGCAGGTCATGAGCATTTTACCAGTGACTTCAAAGGGAGCGAGAAGAGAACCTGAAAAGTTCTCCATCATCACTGTGGTCATCTCAGATTTTAAAAAAAGCTGAGGAGGTAAAGATAGGCTTCTGAGGCCACTGCTGGGGAGCTATGGTTTTTGGAGTCTACTGCTTTCAGAGTATCTCTCAGTTTCCATGAAAGAGTCATCAGCTTGTTAAAATTTTCATTTAATCAGACATGGCAGCACACGAGGGCACCCCTGACCAGCTGCCATGTTTGAAATGTTAAGGATCTTGAAGCTTATTAGAGTTAAGGGGCTGAGCAACAATGTATTTTGGAGTTAATCTAATTACTCTCCTAGGAGCAGGATAATGTAGAAGCGGGTACTGCTAGAAAAACAGGCACATCTAAACTGACCTCATGCAAAAACACAGGTAGTACTTTGGCAGGTAACAAGAACAGTTTCTGGAGAGTGGGGTATTTTAAACAAAATAGGAATATTTTTGGTAAATTCTGGGTCCTTGTTTTTTTATCTGTAATGATACCACCAGGTTTTGCAGGCTTTCCATCTTGTTCTGTAGCCTCCTAGGTATATTGTCACTAGTTTCCATGGGCTGAGAGGATAGTGAGAAAATCTTGCATCAAGATGTTATCACAGATTAACAAAAAAAAAAAGTCATTACAAATTATTTAAACATTCCATCTAAAGTAAAGTTCTTAGAAAAGAAAATTTCAAACAATAAAACTTCGAGTAGCAAAGGAAATGAGTAAGAAGACAAGGTGATCAACAGAAATTTAAATTTAGTGGTATTTCTGTTTAAGTGAAAATACAACCACATTTCGATTTTGCCTATAAATTTCTCCATTGCCCAAGTGGGGAAAAAGTGTTTTATGTTACTAAAATAGTATTTATGCCCACAACTTCTAAGTCCCTCTTTGCCAGTAAAACTGCAAGGATTGTACAAAGGGAAGCAGTAGTGTCAGCTGCATTTTCCAGATGGAAAATTAAGGTACAGAAAGATGTAACTTACTAAGGACAGGACTAAAACCGGAAATTCCAAGTCTTGGAAGATCCAGACCAGTGCAGAATTCCATAGGCATTGTGCCTGTCTGACTCAACACTAACACCCACAGACTGACACGGTCACACCACTGCTTCATGAACAACTACAGTCTCCCACACTGGAGCCTCTTCTGACCAGAACTTGGACTGTTTTATTTTTGCTACAGTCATCAATTCTCAAATAAAAAGAGGTAAAACAAAACAAAAAACCAAAGGAGCCAGAGATGGAGGTAACTGGCTGACCAGATTAACAAACAAAACAAAAAACCCCAAAACACAACAGAAAAAAAGTGATGCCACTTATCTTTCTCTTTGAACTGAGCAATGATTGGCAATTGGCTGAAGGTTACAGTTGTGACCTGCTAGATCTCCTGTGGTCTAATGGAGACAATCTGCGGTTTATGTCCAATTGCAGAGATATCTATACCACAAAGCCTGCAAGTTTCCTAAAACAGATGCAATCCAGGACCGAGGCTCATTGCAGGGATGGTTGCGTTGCTCTACAGATACAAAAATTTGCATGTACTCACGCACATAGCCAATTCAGCGCTTTGATGGGGAAATGCCATGCACATCTGCACTCTGCTTATGAACAGGCATTTCTTAGCTGTTAAACGTGCATTAAAAATACAGATGAGCTAACAAATATACACTTCATCTTTGCACAGCCAGACAGCTGGAGGAAGCAAATGTCAATAAGCAACAATGTTAATGTTCTAGTCCGGATGACTACTCAGCCCAGCTGTTTTAGATAGCACTCTGCATAAAAAGAAGATCCTGATGTTTGTAAAATGCTAAAGATGAAGTGACTGAGGAGAAGTATGCGTTAATAAAATAACACAATGCAGACATGCTAAAGTTGAAACTAGAAAAAAAATCCCACCTGAGAAGCAGGAAACATTAGTCCTTTTGAGCTCGTTGAAGCTATGGTTAGATTTTTGCCTGTACCAGAACTAGCTTAGAGCCAGGTGTGCAGCCTCTCTATTACACTCCTACCTGCTCATGTGCCCTCTAAGAGAAATGTTACTTTCAGGCCTTGAAAATAGAGCAATGTAATGTTTAAAAATGGTATTCGTTAAGTATTATTTGCAAATTTAGCTGCTTACTTGTTTTTCCTATTGCATCTACTCATTTTGGGGTCTTTCTGCCACTTTAGTGTAATAAAGCAGTCCTGACAGCCTGGCTTGCTGGCAAGTAATTAATAGACTACCTTGAAAATGTTGATCATCCTCACAAATATTTTGTGATGCAGGAAAGCTTATTTTTATCACTTAAGAGCTACAAATACTTAGCCTTACATCAATATTTTCAGTAAAGCCCAGAACTTTTCTAAATGTGTTACAGGAACCACAACAACTACTACAAATATTAATATTAGGCAACTGTGTTGCTTGTTACTGCAAATACTGATGTTAAGCATCCCTACGGTCTATGTACCTGAATAAAGTCATTTACCAGTTCTTAAATTTAGCAGTGTAAGGAATTTATCTACTCTTTGTATAATACATTAATTAGCTGCTACATTTTACTCACAATTCATTTATCACAGAAAAAAACCTTCTATTTGAACAGAACTGTGACAGGGCGAGGGCAGTCTGACGTAAGAAAGAGCAGGTCACATTTAGGTAAGTGGGCCAGAGCCGCTGAAGCAGTGCTTTAAAATGAACCATCAGTAAATTCTGTCTCAATAAATTTGCATATCGTAATTGCCGTTGCCAGAACCACAAATGGAAGACCAATCCCATGTCAGCCCTGTACATTCGAGAATCGCTAGTGTTTATGTTCAGCAATATGAATGTATTCCATAAATGATTTATTACAAAGGCACATAAAAAATAAATGCAGTATGAAGCAAAGGTACCACAATCATAAACCGCAGAAGACTGGGGACTCTGCTAGTTTCTACAGAATTGCTGGACGGCTATAACTCACTGTACTGGCTGGGAAGAGATCCAGTCAAACTCTTTGGATCAGTAAATGGGACCGGACTTACTTATCTGGGGGACTGTGGCTGCACCCTCTGGAAAGCCAGCCTTCCTTGTGGACAGTCTGTGCTCTGGTGAGGCGCTGGGGCCAGCTCCAAGGTCACCAGGTGGGGCAGTTAATAGCAAGTGTACTGGAGACTTTTCTCTGGATCTCTGCTCCTGAGAGACCTTCTTGGGGGAGGATGTAAAACGAGGAGCTGCTGAGAAGATGGATGCACCTCCTAGGAGATATCCAAGCAAAGAGCGGTGAGCATACACACCTGAAGAGAAACCCCCATACCAGCTTTGACGTTATCTCTGTAACAGTTACAGGGCTGGGTTCCCTTCATTGCACTCTTTCACCCTTTCCATTGCTTATTAGTAGCCAAGGTAGCAGGAGACTATAGCCTCTTTGCAAAACGTGCTTGTTTCTGTTAAAGTGATTGTCACACGAAGAACGGCCAGTAAACCTGGCTAGGAGAAAGTAGGGCATGCTTTTTCCTGCTGGCTACTCACTTCATGCTTACTTCCAAAACAGCCTGATGGGAGTATCACAGCTGCTAACAACCCAAGACTCCCCGTACATTACTGCTGACTTGGATCTCATTACTTAGGTATAAGAGGCAGAAAAAACAATGCTGCTCACACAAACTTGGATCTCATTACTTAGGTATAAGAGGGAGAAAAAACAATGCTGCTTACACAGTTCTGTCATTTCCCTCCTTACCAAGAACTGATTGATATGCTTTGAACTCCTGGCAGAAGGAGAGTCATAAGGAAAAAGAGACAAGATATGCATAGAAATACGCCATCAACAGATTACGTAACATATTCTTATATGTATGGCACATAGTCTGTGTGTAAAAAACCAAAAAGGTTGCATGCAGCTAATGAAGCGGAGATTTACTACAATTCTTCTCTTTTTCTTCCCATAGTCTGTTTCCTTATTCCTAACACCTCTCCTGGGATGTCTTGAAAATAATTTGGGGGGGTTTCTAACTCACTCCCCTTGTTCAACTACTACTCAAGTCTTCCATGTAAAAAATGCTACTTGCGGCTATTTTGGAAGCTAGGAAAAATCCCTGGATGTTGCAGTAGGTTTGCTAGAAGGCTGACAGTAACTACCCAGGAGGTTTTCTTTAATACTCAGAACTATAAAAAGAGGACCCGAAGTAGTCACTCCTTACATCCTTACAATCCTTACATTTCTGTTCAGGTTACTGAATTCACATCACCACATTTTGAAAGGTACTGACCACCCAGTACTTGGAAGGAAATCAATGGAATTTGCAATGACCTGATTCCTCTCAAAAGCAGATCCATATTTAGATACCTGAATACAGAATTCAAGACCCTAAAGTTAGTCACCAAAAATTTGACAATATTATCCATGCTAATTACACAAGACTATCGCTATTCATCAATAACTACCATGGAAGGTATCCATTTTAGGTGTGCTGATATCAGCCTCCATGGAGCTGGTTTGCAACAAGATACAGAGACTTTGTAATAGCACCTGCTAAGAGGTATTAGAGTAAATGGCCTAAGAAAATATACTGTATTTGGACTGTATTTTCTGTAATATTCTGTATGTTCCAGTTTGACATCAACATGGCACATTCATCCTCAAATGTGGCCAGTGAAAACTTACCAAGGGATGTAAAGGGCAAGGTAATGTCTTGGGGCTGAAGATCTGCAGTACGTAAGCATGAAGGATCCCTGCAAGCAAAACGATGGCAAAACTTACATTCTGGAAGTATTATGCTAAGTTTTGGTAATGCTAGCTAGCCTTCAGAGTGAGAATGTGAAGCTCTCGTATGTAATCTCCAGATCTTACACATGAAAATTAAAAGCAAACAATGTAAATAAGTTCCAGAGCTTGCTCTTAGAGGGATGAAAGTAACATCACAGCTTTGTTTTGTAATTCCCAGGAAGCTTTTAGCATTATGCATAAAACAATACAAACAAGCTCAGGGCTAATGCTATAGTAAAATAGCCTTAGAAACTGAATCTCAAATGAGTACTTTAAGCAGCAGGTTACTCAGCTAAGTGAAAGCACTTCTCACCGTCTGAAAGTATCATTTTCCACAATGCTTTCAGTAGCAGAGCCTCTAGCTGCAGTCTCCCTGCATGGAAAAACATATCACTGTCAAAACCACAGCAAAAGCCTTGCCAGTAGATTGCTACACTTCCAATTTTTAGAATATAAGCTTGTTTTTTAAGCAGAGTGCAATGGCAGTCGCATTCTAATAGTGAAGAAAAGGCATCGTAAAATTGTTATACGAGTTCACTTAAAAAAAGTCTATTAAGAGTAGAGTGAATTAAGACTACTGAAGTAATGGGTATCTTTGGGAAATAAAGGACTAGATTCATTATGAATACTGGGTAGTCATAAAGATGGAAAAAAAGACAATAAACTTCTGCTTTCAACAACTAATGTCACTGCAATCTTCCTTCTGGTTACTCACACAACAGTGCTTCTATTTAGCTTCTTCAGACCTGCTTCAGGTTATTAGGTGCTTTTTAGCCCATATTTCACCTAATAGCATCAGATGACAACTATAACATAAATTCTTGCTTTTTCCAGGTTTGGACCTATGTCTTTTCTCAGGCGCTGTAAATTCTTAGAGTACAGTGGCATTTGATGAGAGAACGGAAATGGATCATTGATTAATTTCCAAAAAACAGCTAGACTCATTGTAAGTATAAGCATTGAGAGACACTTGGAAGTGTTCCAGCGAAGTAAAATCTTGCTGAATTTAATGCTGACCTTTGTAGAAATGCTCCATTTCCACCAGCAGCTCTGCTATTTTATCTGTATCTACACAAAACCCACTGCTAAGCATGCCTGAAGCATACAAAGCGCTATCTTACTTTACCACACAAAACCTTCTTGCTCTATGTCAAGTTTTTTGTGACAACCTCAGCTTTGGAATGGACAGGAAAAAGAAAAGCCAAACAAGTAAGATTTTTTATAGCAAATGGCATTTGCCATTTGGCATCTTATATTCTGATATGGTAACTTTGGATACAGCACAACTTTTAACTAAGGCACTGGGAAGAAAAGAAAAAAAACCTGGGCTTCATCTCAGTTTTCACAGGAGACAATCAACAAGATCTTAGCTCTGCTGAAGCTAGAAGCATCTTGTTCCAGATTTCTATATAAAGGTCCTCTATTTAATTAATGAAGTATCTATTTAAAAGGAAATTCATGAACTTCTACGAACTTCGGCAATGTCCTGTGGATGCCATTACCACATTTTTCCTTACAGAAAATGCCAAGGTGATGAATGCCTTTTGGTAATCCGTCTCACTGTTTAACACCAATTCTGTGGTATGTAGAAACACGAGCTTTGGAGATTAAGGACACAAGCCTGGTCAATGAATCTTATACGTCACTACTTCATTGAGCTATCTCAGAATTTTGATCTACAAAGAACTTCTAGTCTTTACTAGAACATAAACCATTATTTTCTTCCCAATTTTTAAATCCATTTTGTAGAACAACTTTTTATTCCTCAAAATATTGTCTGTATTGTCCTACAGTATTGACTCGATCAACATCTGTATTTGTGTTGTCCGTGACCTTTTCAGAAAGGTGATTTCTCACCTCTTGCAAAGATCTGATTGTAGGCTGAAGACAGCAGCACATCCTCTACCTGCACCATCTCTGTGTAGAAGGATGTAGAAAGACAACATCAGAACTGGCACCACCAACAGCGCAAGATAGTCATGTACTTTGACAGACAGCTTTGTATGTTGAGGGATGATTAGATGTGGGATTCTCCCATCCTCATTTCAGCTCTGCAAGAGAACACTGTTGCAAGGGAGAAAAATTCTCATAAAATCCACATGGTCTGAACCATAAAACCTGGCAACCTTATGTAGAAAAGAACAGTTTCTCCCACTGCCACCATAAACAGAGGCCACAGGCAATAACCATGTAGTACAGGCTGGCAAAGGACACTGTTGACTGTCATGCCTCCAAAGGACTCTATGATCGGCAAAGTCAAGGTAGGAAGATGTAGTACATTTACTACTTAAAAAATCAGACACACAGACCAACTTCTGTACATCAACCCTTTTTCCAATTGTGAAATAGAAGCTTCTGTATTTAAGCTGTCAAAAATTTGCATGTGATAACAAGCAGATCTTTTGTTCAATAAAAATACCTGGGAAAAGTAGAAAAACCCAGAATACCAATGTGATTTTATTCCACCATTATGTATTATGGGAGAGGTGTCATGGTTTAAATAAATTTGATCCTAATCAAAGTCCATGAATTATATTTTCCTTTATGAAGTATCCCTATGTTCTGGATTAGAAACATCAGAATTTGTGCTATATTGATTTTTCAACTTCACGTACCACTGTCATTATAATTTGTTACGTTAAAAAATAATTGCCTGCTTCAACAATGAGAGAAGGGATATTTACATAAGGTAGAAAAAGAAGAAAGCAGTTCCAAATGAAAATAAAAGCAGAAACAGCAAAAAGCAAGCAATAAAGGGAAATGGTGTAAGTCACCTTCTATTTCCCCAGCACTTAAAGCATCTGAGGAACCTGACAAATAACAGAAGCTTTGGAAGCTTTCAGATTATCTCGAGCTTATTCATAAGCCAAATTTTCTTGCAAAAAGGCATCCTATACTGCTCCTGAAGCACATGAATAGCCAGCTCCTAGTTTTCGAAGGCAATAAAACTACAGAATACACAACAGCAATAACAGTGTACTACTCTTACATTGTATTCCTCATGGTTGCTAAAGGTGATTTTCTCCCACCATTGCTGTCATCCTTGCCAAGATCCACAGAGCGAATGTCATTGTCTGAGCTTGTTAATTCTTGAAGAATCCTCTTTAGATCCTGCAATGGTTCTTCCTTCAAAATGCCTAGCTTGGAAGGCATCTGAAATAAAATAATTCAGTTACGAAGTATTTATAAAGGCACTCTTTTTTTTCAATTCTTATATATACTCATCCAAAGTCACATGTTTTTTTCCCCCTTTACTCTTGTCTTACCAGTTAGAAACAGGGTGGATTTTTGGTAATTTTAGTTAAGAAGTGTTGGAGGCTAGATCATGATAACTTGAAGACTGTCAAAATACTCTCTGAATATGATTGCACTCTTATCTGGAAAGTTATCTGACAGAAATGTGTAAAGCAACTAAATATGATTGAGGGAGATCACAGCTAACATCTGCACTTTGAATAAATGCTGTAAAAAGGTTACAACTACTGTTTCAAAGTCAAACACATTAAAATAAGCCTTGAATGATGAAAGCTTCCACCCCACCCAACACAACCATTACCTTTTTCAGTACTCAGAACCAATAATCTTTGCTTATGTGACAACTCTGTTTTCTCCTTTTTAACTTGTGATCCCAGGTATTACTGTAGAGTGCAGAAACACAGCTCTGAAGACAGAAATACGAGTCTATCAGGGTTGTTTCTAGGCACTCATTTCTATAACAGCTGAGTTGTGTGCAAATATTAACCACTTTATTATTGTCACAGCCATACTCTGAGACAAAGTGCAATATTACTCTCATTTTACTGATCAGGACTTGAGGCAAAGGCCTGGTTCAAAGAATCCTTTCTTTCTGTGAAGAACTGGATTTTTCAGACTACTCAGCACTTCACATGTTCAAAGCGCTGCTCCCACTGACTTATACTTCATCTGTGGATGCAACTGGCTAGAAACATGCTGCTAACATGCTCTCATTGAAAAAAATGTAATTTCCAATGGGAACACAGTAGTTTCAGCAGAGCTTATATGGAGAACAAATCCTCAGCTTCATAATGGGTCGATGTGATACTGAGTCAGACCAAATCCTTCTTTCCTACATTCTGGCTAAGAAAACTGGCTATCGACCAGGTAGTGTCTCTGTCTCAAACGTTGGCCTTGCTTCATTTTGTACAGTAACTAATCATGCAGGAACCACAAAGATTCAAGTAGGCCTTGAATCAAGTTCTCCTACAACCTGTTGGGTCCTCACTATGGCACTACATTAAAAATTGGTCCTTTCTCCTTCTTTATCTTCAGAAGTATAAAATGATTAACTCAAAGAGAACGGGAGTGCCTGATGCTGCAGGGATTTCACAGAATTAACTATCCTTTGTTCCTTGATGAAAATGTTTGTCACCACATCAGAAAGGAAAACAGAAAATATTACTGAAAAGTATCTGCATTAACTTGTGGTCTTCTACAGATTTTGAGGTAAAAATTAATGAAAAGACCTCTACCAATTTCTGTGGGAGATACATCAGGTCTCTTTTGGAGAATTACACTCAATCTGTATGGAAAATACAAACTTTTTTTTTTCATGAAAGATTTGTGCTGATGTTTTCCATAACGAAAAATTAGAACAATACTAGCATCTAATTTAAATCTAGATGAAGATGTACAAAAACAAAAGGTAGGAAAGACAATGATGTGCCTTTTAGGATAAAATTGGTTAAAATCAGTGAAGGCCAGCTTGGAGAAAGATTTAAGTATTAAAAGCCACTACAGGTCAATTAGATAATTAAATTTATCAGGAACTATGTACAAATCTATTTTCACTGCCAAATGTAAGTGATTTACAGCAAGTGAAGTACGAACAAAAAAAAAAGTGAAAACCAACTGCTTACAGATCAGCACCTTCAATTTTAATAGTTTATAAATGTTATTGGAGATAGAGGGAAGACAAACTCCTATTACGATCCATAGAATTTTTTTATTTTCTAGTTGCTTTTTACATATATTTCACAAACGGAAAAAAAGAAAATCTGAAAGGCCATAATGTACGAGAAGCTACAAAAAATTACTTCATCATTGGTGTTAAGAATTCACTCTTGGACATTCCTACCAGATGCTCTCCCATTTAGAAATTCCATGCTATTTTTATTCTCTGGAACATCCCCGTTTCCCACGCAGTTTCCCATTTTGAGGCAGGTACTCACATGAGGGGCACAGCCGGCCAAGCTCAGGGAAGGTGGCAGGACAGCAGAGTGCAGGTGGGACAGAGGCACTATGTGCCGCTGCTTGCCTGAAGCAGAAGCTGATGAGTAGCCTGGACCCTGCAGCTCCTGTGGAAAAACATGAGCCAAGCAGAATGAGCAAGTATAGCTAAGCAGAATAAACGGGTATAGACAGCATCCCCTCTGCAACAGGGCATCTCTTTTAGTCACATCTTTTATAATATGCATCACTCAATTCTCAAAACACTTCCTAGTATTTATTAGGTGTGCTCAGACATAAGCCTTTCAGTGACTGAACTGGGTGCAAGAGTGGCAGTTTAATTTATTTTCAGAATTTTAACATATGCTCTGGAACCAGTCAAGTAGAGGACATCTCAGGGCCACCACAAAATTAAACTATCCCACAGCTCTTGTACCTTTTTCTCTCCACTTGGGTGAGAATTTCTTTCACTGGAATACAAGATTCCCCGCTTTGTGTTCATATGAAGTATTTTCTGTATCGTTTATGTACATTTGTGTTTTGAATATAATATTTCTTTTCTCACTTAAAACTAGCAACTGGGTTGGGTCATTAAAATTAACAATAATTTCTTATGACAAAACTACTGTTCCAAGTGTACCATTCATTTATAGCAGTATTTTCATTGCAGTCTTAACAGTCTATTGTTTTAAGTAAGGCAAAGGTAAATAATATTCTCTATTAAACCCATTAGTAAAGATAGAGATTGGACTAAATCTATTGGGCAATAAAAATTCTGGGCTTTACAATAGAGATACTGGCTTTACATTACTGCATGATTTTCCCTATACCCTATCTTTCACTAATGCTATATAGCCAACAGATGTCAATTACGTGTCTTCCATTTTCTGCCTCAGATGCCTCATGGCCGTATTTCCTTTCTCCTTGTTAATATCTCTTTACTTCTTAAAAACGATTTTTTTTTGTGCTGCCTAACTAAATAGCATAATCAAATTAAACTCAGAGCCCTTGTTTCCAGCTTGTACGTAGCTTTGAGGTTGCTGGTTTTACTTCAGGTCTGAAGAAGGATGTGGGTGCCCAAAAGCTTATTAGTGCTTTCTATCTCTAAGAGTTACACTAGTAAAAGGCATCCCTACAGACCTTGTCACTCTAATTTATTTTTCATAATAATGCCATGAACATTTCTAAGCTTTTATTTAGCTAGGTCCACAAGAAAAAGCTGAAGGGTAACTGAAACCAAAGCTTAGCAGTTGAAGCATGTGGTCCTGCAGCCGTTTAATTTTTTTGTTGCCCTTACTGTAAATAGCACTTCCAAGTCACTGAAGTTATGGACAGGACTTGTGCAGCAATGAGGTATTCCATGTAAAAAAAGGTTTCAGAACACAAACTTTTTAGACTACTTTGCAATAAATAGGGTTAAACCTACAGTTAGGACACAAAATAAATGCACCTAACTTTATAACCATGCTTCTCAGTAACATACTTACTTTTACATCTAAAGTATGCTGCAGTCTAAAGCGCATTGCTTCTTGTTCCTGACACTGGATTATGCACTGACATTCTGCAAACTGCATGGATGCCTGTAAGAAAGGATAGAAGAGGCATAAATTAATTTTGCTAATTTTCTGTGGATTACGCTCTTTCCTGTTCTATTTCCAATAAAGAAACAACAAGGTACACATACAGACGCTTTATTTACGTACTGCTATCAGTATAGAAATACTGCAGTATGACCAGATGTCTTTCTTGATAGGCTTACAAAAGCAACTGACGAATTATATGATCCTAGTAGCCATAATATGCACACCATAATATCACAGAAGGGAGCTAATCCTATCAGGGACAGTCCTAGACCTACTGAGCACCTCCGGGATTAGAAATTCAACTCTGCTAATAAGGCAACACTATACACAAGGTTTTAAAATGGATGGCTGAAAACTTTGTTGACCTGTCATTGT